AAAAGTTTCGTCTTGTCAGACTCTACCCGGTCGGAGAATAATAGAAAATTTTACCGAAGGAAATTGAAGAAAATTGAAATCAAAGTCAAACAGACGTCAAAAAATGGCGATATTTGAGTAGTTTTAATTTGGGACTAAAAGCCTTGACTTCAGAGGTGACTGTTGTACAGCAAATTTAGGCCCTTGTTTTTTATGTTTCAGTAGCTTTGATTTGAAAAATAGCAAAAACAATGAGAATATTAACTTTCGATTGATGTCACTGGCGCGCGCTTCGTGATTTTGCATAACCCTATTGAGCCACCTTAAGAAATAAGAACTTCACAATCATGACACACACAGCAAAGTGAAAGATAACTACACTGGTTTGAAATTCATAGTGCACTTCGACTCAAAATTGATTTCGCAAGGCAAAGCAGGAAAGAGTACCATATAACCCCATACATTAATTATGCATTCCACTTCGTTGTCTTTCACAACAAAACTTTAAAAATAAAGTCTACTAGTCTGAATGCATAATTAATGTATGGGGTAATAATTATGGTACTTTTGCCGACTTGGAGAGCAAAATGGCCAAAGACGGTTTTGGGTCATGACTTGGAAAATCCACCAAAGCCTCCCGAAAAATAATTCGCCGAGGGTTGTAGTAAGAGCAACTTATAATCCTGAAGCTGGAACCTTTTTTTAAGCCTTGTGTTCTATATGACTATAAAGAGAACGAAAAGACGATGTTATTGAAAGTGATTCGATGCTTGGGGGCCACCTCAAACTTAACGCAATTTTACTTCGAAGTTGAAGTAAAATAAGATCAAAATCTAAATTTCCATCTTTCCTCAGATCAAATATCTCACGATCGTCTCCACATACAACTTTGTGATTCACAAAAATAAAACATCAACATCTTAAGACTAACCTTCACGGTCATGTGCACATTTTGATCTTCAGTAAATCAAATCTCAAACTTCAAGTCTTCGGGCTTTTTTCGGGTTTTGTTCACACTTTGATCATTAAAATGTCCTCAACCGAAGAGCCCGCAATCACCATGAGTATCCTCAGAGTTAGAAATGTTGATCAACTTGTCATCGCGACGAATCAATTCTTGTCGCGCATGCGCAGACAAAATGCCTCTCCGCTCTAACGAGTGTACATCTGGAACTAATGGCTGCTACAGGAAGTGAACCACGCAAGCGATGGACGGCAATCGTCTTGACTTGTCAAAGCAAAAGTGGTGCTCACATCTACCAGAAAGGTACTCTATACAGTAGTGTATACGGCTATTTTATTTCTGATGTCGAGTGATAAGACAGGTGGGTTGCAGATGATGCAAACAAGCAACGTTGGTGTGACTTGTTAAAGTAGAGAATAAGACACGACTAAGGGAGTTTGCTGGCCAATGTCACAGCGCTAATTTTAGCACGTGTCTATTCTTCAATAGTCAATATTAAAAAACTTTGCTCAGGATGGGAATCGAAATTTAACGCTCCCTGGTTCCAATTTATCTTTGAACGCATATCATCGATCCGATTTGTGTTTGTTGGTAAATTTTGAGTCCTTCGATATATTGCAGATATTGGACTTCTGCAGTAGGATAAATTACTATTCGGCGGATGAATTTCAACGAAAGTTACTGCGCTATCCATCGGAGTGGATTGCTTTATCCACTCTTCAAACAACCAAGGTCTGGTCTAATTGACATTTGTTATGACACCCCTGTACACTACAGATGTAGGGAAGAGACGTCAATGAATAATCAAACATTGGCCGATTCTTTTGGAGTAACTCTTGTTGCAAAAAGAGAAAAATAATAAAGGATATTGTTGATCAAGGTGTATGGTGAAAAAATCTTGCTAGCTGTTTACTAAAGAGATCATTCATTAAGAGAACCTTGTTTCATTGTGATCAGTAGAGATTTGCTGAAGCAAAGGCATTTAAAAAACCAGGAAAGATTTATTGCTGCTCGATGTTTCGGAATCATCATGACTCCTTTATCAAGAAACTAGTTAACTAGCATGCAACTAAGGAAAGGTACAAGATAAGTATAAATTACAATAAACAGCCTAAACAAACACCTTGGCGCAGATGGAATCTGTTTGCATGTTCAGTGCTTGTTTACGCATGCGAATGTCTAACATTTCTTTAACAAGGCAATCAAATTTGCCGCGACATTTCGTGATGATGTGAAATTGCTCAATGAAGCGTTCAGGCATTTCACTATTATGTTGGAGGTTATAATGTATGTAAATCGAAGATGACTTTTTAGTGTGCCCTTCTATGCGCTCGTGTAAGTGACCAAGTGTATAACCCACATACCCTGCATCACACAGGTTACATTTATATTCATAAATGAGACATTGTAGGTTGACAGTGGGGGGGCTTATAATGTCGTGTCGCTTGAGTTGTTGCTTGAGCTTAGGGCTTACAAACACTGGTTGGACAGTGACGTTCAACTTGGAACTTAGATTGTTCAGTTGTTGTTTAACATAATTAGCTGAAGACTGGTCCTTGTGTGACAGTTTATACTTTTCCCTCACCAGAACTGGAAATTCACCAGAATAAAGGTTTCCTTGATAAAGATGTACTGCTTTTAACCTTGGAAGATCCTAAGGCTCGTATAGGAAGTGGTGGGGCGACTATAAATGCTTTGCTTGTTGTCACTGAACATCTGAGTGCAAAAGCTGGTCATGAGGTAAAATTTAAAGCATGTTACAGCAACTATTTCCAACCCTATATCTATGTTTTTGAAGGTTATAACTTTAAGAAGTACATGTACATTTATGTAAATAGCTTCAGAGCTCAATTGTTTGTCAAGACCAAACTGGTCAAGTTACTGCTCTATAATCAGTGAACTGAACTAGTTCTTAGGAAAAACAAAATGTATGATGTCACTTACAAAATTACATTGTAATCTAGAAACTTTAATTTTTGTTAAAACATTCCATGAATCCCCAGAGTCATTGTCAACACAAACTGTTACTTAAAAAGACTCGGTACAGGATTCTTTTAACTTGATTTCAGAATTACTATTCAACCCAAAGGAAATATATTATAGTATTATAGGACTATCCGAAATCCGAATTAGTGATGACGCTTGTGATGAAAATCTTCCAAGCTTACCAAATTACTATTTTGAGTTATGTAACAACGCCTCTTTCCGCAGGTGGTGTAGGAATGTATATCAACAACCAATTGCAATATAATGTTCTGGAGCGTACTTCTAATTCTTCTTATGATTGTAAATATTAAGAAAAAGAGTATCTGTGGTGTGGTTTATAGACAGCATGACAAGGCCAATGATTTCCTTAATTAACTTTCCTCTGCAATAGAATTATATTCCTCGAGAAATAGAAACATTAATTTTATTTAATGGGTGACTTTGACATTGACCTTCTTAAATTTGAATCTTGCTCTTACTCTAAGAACTGCTAGAATTAACGCAAAGCTTTTCACTATTACCAGCTGTCGATAAGCCCATGAGGGTTTATGGAAAGTCAGCTACATTAATTGATAATATTTTTTCAAATAATTTAGAAAACAGCTTTATATGCGGCAACTTAGTAACTGATACTACGGACCATTTTACCCAGGTCTGCATTGTGTCAACACAACCTTATTCATTGAGTAATAATAATAATAATAATAATAATAATTTGATATTTATGTTGCGCAAATTAACATGTGGATATCGCAAATGAACATGTGGATATGATCAAATGCACATCACAACACTTTTCGGGGGACTTTTGGCCGGACTGCATCAGCAGTTTACAAGCAATTTCGCTGGAAACTTAGTTGAAGATGCCCGCTCCCCTCAATACCCAGTAAACAGGCCAGACCACATCATAGTAATCTCGTGAGTGGGTTCATTAACGTCCCCTGCCTAACCAAATTAACTAATTAATAGATGCAGGAGACGGAAACAAAGGAAAAAAGTTTGCAACTACTCCAATTTCAATGCTAATAGGTTTCTTTCTGAAATGAAAAAAACAGAAAGGAATAATATTTCAAACATTGACTCAAACAAATCATTCACAATTTTTTACAAAAAAGTAAACTCCTCGGTAAATAAGCATGCTCTGATGAAAACTCTCTCCAGGTGTAGGGAAAAAATATTATCAAAACCACGGATCACCAAATGAATTTGAACTTCAATAGGAATAAAAAATAATTTATTTTTTAATGCAGATTGGGAGAACCATAAAGTATACCGAAACAAATTAACTAGCCTAACGCATCTAAGCAAGAAGAACTATTATGAATGTCATTTTGAAGAAAATATTAACTCCAAAGAAACGTGGAGAGGTATAAATGATATCATTTCAAGAAAGACTAATAGTAACCGATCGTCAATACACTGCCTTGTTAACGCCGACTTGGAAACGATATTCAACCCAAAGGAAATAAGTAATTCTTTTAACACTTTCTTTGCAACTGTTGGACATAAGTTGGCTTCCGATATCCCTTCTTCGTCGTTGGATAATGATTTTAGTACTTTCTTAGACCAGCCGATAGAAAGTTCCTTTTATTTTGACCCTTTGTTCCTGCAGAAGTTGTAGCTGAAATCAATCTATTACCAAATAACAAAGCCTATGGACTCTATTCATGCCTGGTCAGTATCTTGAAATTGTCTAGCCATATCTCCCAACCTTTAGCTCAAATTTTTAATGTTTCAGTATCCTCAGGTTCTTTCCCAGCCAAACTTAAAACTGCCAAAGTATAGTTCCAGTCTTTAAATCAGGAGATGCATCAAAGCCTGGAAATTATTGACCGATCTCTTTGTTATCAATTTTTAACAGAATATTTGAAAAGTTGGTTTATAAAAGACTTGTCAAGTTTGTCAATAAACAGAATATATTATATTCATCACAATATGGATTCAGCAGCAAGCATAGTACACAACACGCTGTTCTAGAAATCCTAAATGACATTTTTTACTAATTTTGATAATGGTCAATTCGCTTTTTGTTTATTTATTGATTTGATAAAGGCTTTCAACACAGTTAATTAGGAAATTATTCTTTTAAAAACTTGAAAATTACGGCTTCAGAGGTATAGTGAATAGTTGGTTTAAGTCGTACTTAATTGGTCGTAAACAGTATACGACCATCAATGGTTATATATCTGATGCTCATCAAACCCTCTGTGGAGTACCCCAAGGCTCTGTACTGGGACCCTTGCTTTTTCTCTTGTATATAAATGATATATTTAAGTCTTTAATTAAACTTCAGTTTTACTTGTTGCCCGATGATACTAGTTTAATTTATGCAAACGGCGATGTCAAAAAACTTGAATCTGAGATTAACGAAGAACTTAACAAAGTTTCCTCGTGGCTAGCTGTCAATGAATTAACCTTGAACATCGAAAAAACCAATTATATTATCTTTTGCTCACGCCAAAAGACTATAATTTCTTTTTATCCTAATATTAAAATGGTAAATAGCAATTCAAACACCAGTCAACTGTTACAAATGAAAGACTACATTAGATATCTTGGTGTACTCGTAGATTCGCATCTTTCATGGAAAATTCATGTAGATTACATTTGTCAGAAAATCAGTAAAACAATCGGAATTGTCGCCAAGCTCAGACATTTTGTTCTCCGTCATGTACTTCTCACTTTACACTGCTCTTTAATCTTACCCTATATCAGCAAGGGCATTTGTGCTTGGGGTCACACTGCTGAAGCGCATCTTCATAAACTACTAGTTCTTCAGAAGAGAGCCCTTAGGCTAATGTTCTTTGCTGATCCAAGAGCTCATGCAGTTCCGTTATTCTTACAAACTAAACAGTTGCCGATATCATTCTTGTGCTTTGAGCAAATGAGTCTTTTAATGTTCGATGTCCACAATAATCTCGTTCCTGATAACATTAAGAACATGTTCATGAAGCTGGCTTCTGTCCACAATTACCAGACTAGATCTGTTACCAATGAAAATTATTATGTTGAACAAGTTAGAACTGAAAATATGAAGAGAGCCTTCTCTATTTCTGGCACCTTGATCTGGAACAGTATTCCATTTCCTATCAAAACACTTAAAAAAAAATCAATTTTATTATTATTATTATTGACCGATCTTTTTGTTATCAATTTTTAACAGAATATTTGAAAAGTTGGTTTATAAAAGACTTGTCAAGTTTGTAAATTAAGTTAAATTAAAATTTAAAAGCGCAGTAAAGGAAAAACTTTGAGATTCTGTAAAAAGAGGATGATTATATAAGAATATATATATTTGAGTACAATTCTTAAAATTATAACTGTGTGTACTTCCAGTATATACTACAATCTGTCCTCCTGTTTCATTCTGTCTATAAGCCACACGGCAAACTAGATTTCTTTTAGGATTGTTCTTTTACATATAATTATACATATGAATATTCATTTTCTATAGAATTCTTTTCTTTTTTTTATTTTCCTCTCTTGTGCCCACCTCGAATAGCCCTTGCTACTTGCAGGCCTGAGCATTGTAATTTTCCATATTAACCTTTTAAAAATTAAATTTGTTGTTGTTGTTGTTGTTGTTGTTGTTGTTGTTGTTATTACTTTTTAGGTATTCTTTTGTTGTACCAATATCTCAAGTATGGTATTTTTCATTTAAAATTAGTTTTAAATTACTGCAGCAGGTACTGTATTCTGTTTACTAATCCATTTTTGTTTATTTTAAAGACATTGACGCTAAGTGTCTTGGACAATGCCAACATTCTTATTATGCACATGGTGGGTACTATGGGTACCTTTTATCATTTTAATTTAGAAATTTTGTGGAAGTGAATTGATCTGTTTTTGCAGAGTATTGGTTGGACCTTTTCGTTTCTAAATCAGATCATGTAATTAATGCATTGAAACAATGTCGAGTTTTCTTGTTACATCATGGAAAAACTTGATCCTTTTGTTTTCACAATTCTTTCAATATACAAGTACAAAGATTTGATATTTAATAAACTCAATCCTTTGGTTACAATGAAAATATGAAGTTCATTTATTTTGAGATGGGGTATTAGATCCTTTGGTTGTTAGCATCTGGAATTCAATTTTAATCAACACAATAATTTTTTTTTTCTCTGCAATTGTAGATTATGTTGAGATATAGAATATGTTTGGTTTTGTAGGGTCGAGACTTTCCTTTTAGTTCTTGTGGACGGTTCTTCAATACTTTACCAGGCAAACACACAGAGGAATCCAAAGAACATCTTTGTGACTGCATTGTCTCAAACTTTGACCTTCTGCTTGATGTTATTTCCAACAAGGTAATACTTATCAGCAACCGTCTTATAATTATACACATTTTGTTTAGATCAAGTTAGGAGTGATTAACTTCTAATTTCTCCATACAGTGTGATATAATTAATATACAGTTAGTGTATTGATAAATGAATGTTTTATATTTCTTTTAGTTGGCTGTGAATGCTCCTCCCGGGGTGTGGGTTTGCAGCACAGACATGATGTTGACTGTCTCACCTGATACAAGTATGAAATAATTTTTTTCTTTTTTTTTTTGCTGACTTAGAGTACAAACTTGTTGTTGTCATCATTTTCATTACTATCACATGACTTATCATAGTCATTATAATCATCACCATCATCTCGATCTACATGTACTTTTATTATCATCTTATTCATGAGAATTTTCATTGTTATCACTGTGATACTGAAATTGCAATCAGTTTCAAATGCATTGTCAATATAAATTGTTTGTTTGACTAATAGTCAATGTAATGTAGTTTTTTCAATTCTTTCAACTGCAATTCTGCAATTCAATTCTTTCAACTGCAATCAGTTTCAATTGTATTGTCAATATAAATTGTTTGTTTGACTTTTAGTCAATGTAATGTAGTTTTTTCAATTCTTTCAACTGCAATTCTGCAATTTTGCAATTCAATTCTTTCAACTGCAATCAGTTTCAAATGTATTGTCAATATAAATTGTTTGTTTGACTAATAGTCAATGTAATGTAGTTTTTTCAATTCTTTCAACTGATGACTATAGGGATAAACTGGAAGCAGTCTTCAGATGGTATTGCGATGCTGCTGTTTCATGGAGATGTTGAATATGCAAAAGGCCATGGTGTTGTGAAGCTTGGAGATCAGGTATTAATGGCTAATGATAACATTTGCTTCTTTGTAATTTGGAATGAATTGTAGTTCCAATTTCACTCACAATCTTCTCTCAACAAATAGTGTGATAGTACATAAAGGTCTTTGTCCCCAGCCAACCATTAAAGCATTAAAGCATTAAAGCAGTGAAGATACAGGAAAAGAGGCCTACATATGGTCCAGCACATCTACAATTTACATATTTCACTGCACAGAAAGCATAACGTCAGTTATTTTAAGACCCAGAGAGTTGATTGAATATGGGGATCAGAACCCTTGCCCTCTCTACACAGCAGTCATGGAAGACAATGCTTTTACTTTCTTTTTTCACTAGTTGAAGCCATATATTCTTTTCATATGTAGGGCAGAGTTGACTATATCATTTTGCTTTTTTTACTAGTTGAAGCCACTTATTTATAGCCTTTTCATTTGTAGGGCAGAGTTGAAGATATCATTTTTCCTTTTTACTAGTAGAAGCCACTTATTTATAGCCTTTTCATTTGTAGGGCAGAGTCAAAGACATCATCTTCAGAGGAACTTCTGACATATTAAAAACTTGCACACTTGAAAATGACAAAGTTCCCTTGGTAAATAAATATTTGTATACATGTATGCTAAATTTAATAACATCTTAGTTTAAACCTTATTTGACTAAACTGTCTGCTGTCTTTTATAGTTGCAACAATCAGTGTTGCATATCTTGCTTTAATCAGCATGAACTGTGATAAGTAGCCAAGTCCAGTGAATTAGACACTTACTCCTTAGGGTATTCATAGCTACTAACTAAATAGACTGTTCCAAATAATTTTTATGAGTACTCTGAGTGAGTGGAAGGATTCCCTTTTTCCGTTGCTCGATTTTGTAGTGTCAGTCTGCTTGGTAGTAAGGCACTAAAATATAGTTTTCATGTGAATCCATTCACTCCCAAGATCTCATTCATGATTCAGACTACTGTCTGCCATGTATGATGTTTGTTTAGATAATTGGACTTTGGATCAACTGATAATTCCCTAATCAGTATTTTTCTTTATTCTTGTCTCAATGTCTGCATGATATTGTATTGATATTGTAAGGTGGAATTCTGTTTTGGTCACTCATGGCCATTTAAGGGTTGAATGATACTCCTCAGAGTGGTATTACTGTTGATTTTAATTATCTTCTGAGTGATTTGTTGCTGTTGTAGGTCAGTGGTGTAGTTTACATTAACATCCCAGTAGCTGAGAAAATACTAAGTTTCCATGTGTATGCACCTCTTGATGCCTGTACTTATTATGGACTTGACACTGGAGCAGAACCCATACAGGTATGAAAACAGGGGGTACATTTCCAAAGAAACTGGTGTTGCATTGGGGGGGGGGGGTGGTGTGTGTGGGAATCACAAGATCACAAGATAATTTGGTGTTATCAGCTGAGTTGATAGTGCACATGTAAACTGGTCGTCTTAAAAATTTTCTCAAGTTGACATTTTAAGTGTTAGCCCTTTGTCAGAGCTTATAGATGAATTGGAATGATGAGTAGAGGGGTGAGAAGCAACACTCATTTATGTTGTTACCAAATTTTACACTGATCCCTGGTACTGTAGAAATTAGTGGCCTATGATCAAATTTTATTATTGGTAAAGATGATATCATAATTTGATAGTCCTTTGTGTATTGATAGTTGTCCCTGTTCTTCGACATACTTCTGAGTTTGGCGGAGGATATTACCGAGTCTGACTTCATTTGTGGCGAGAGAAGTGGATCATATGGTCATAGTACTCCCATGGGAATAGAGTGCAGCTCCAAGGATGAACTGGCACTAATGAGAGGTGCAAGAGCTACGCTGTGGAAGATTCTGAGAGGAGTCTCCTTGAAAGGAGGTACTTGATAATTCACCAATTGTTCGCTCATTTTTACATTATTCATGACATTTGAAATCAGGTGTTGACAACAAGGAATTGATTGTCAATGTATTGATATATCAGGGGCAGAACTTGCTTACCGGTACTCCCATGTAAGTCCCATATCATCTTACTCCATAGAGCCTCTTTTTGAGGATAACAGGTTCATCTTCATGTCAAACCTCCACGTTTGAGCACCTCTTTGTCTATTTATTTAAGGAAATCTCAGTTTGTGTAATTCTGATATTCATTGGAAACAATAAAGTTTGTTCTGTCTTCATTTAAGTTGTCATTGACAAGGGTGAGTTTGACTACATGCAGCCATCAGCAGAATGTTACAGGAGACAGATGCGAGGAAGTGTAGAGAATTTTGCACCCGGCCCATTTGAACTAAGCATGCACACCCATGTCTGTTTTCACAAGGTACAAATTTTAATTGAATAGATAATCTACGGTATAACTTGAGAATGGGACCTTGTGTGATTTTGCGGGAAGAAATTTTTGCGGTTCGCCTTGACTGATGTTTCTTCCACAGGAGTACCACTTTTAAGAAGCTAGCAAAACAATAACCTGAAAAACGAACGTATCTTTCTTTTCCGTACCATTCACCACTTTGCGCTCCTTTGTTTGGCTTTCGCACCACTCCCTTAGGTGAAAAGGGAGCATCTTTTTGTCTATTTATTTAAGGAAATCTCAGTTTGTGTAACTCTGATATTTATTGGAAACGATAAATTTCGTTCTGTCTTCATTTAAGTTGTCATGCGAGAGAGCATGGCGCCCGGACGGTCGCCACTTAACTGCAGGGCATCTGTGCTATGTTATTTAATTTGCGTCTTAACTTTGGATGCAACAAAACAATTACGAAAGCGTAGGTCATTATCCAGCCATCCGAGATGATGAAGACGGATTTGCCATCGAATATTATCAGGATCGAAGATTATTAAATCCATGCACGTGGCACGTTTCCGACAGCGGCCATCTTGGTTTCTTCTTTCAGCGCAAGTTCATCGGAAAGAGAGTACCGTATTGCGCCTTCCACACAGCTCAGTTTAATATATCGCTACTCGTCGCACATGGTGACGTCCATCCTCATCCCGGACCACGATACGATGCACCTAACAAACTGAACACAAGCTCTTGTCAAACGACTGTCATGAGTTCAAACGCTAGGACCTCGGATAACACCTGCCGCTTACCTACAAAACGCAAACCATGGCTGGCCCACTTCAATTGCAGAAGTATTATGGCTCACATCGACGAACTGAGGCTAACTTTTCAAGATATTTGCCCTCTATTTATCGGAATTTCAGAGACATGGTTAGACGACTCCATCTCGGACTCAGAAATTGAATTATCGGACTATTCTGTGCACCGTCATGACCGGAAAAATCGTAGGGGAGGTGGAGTGGCAATTCATGTACTGGAAAATGTGAAACACACTGTAAGAAGGGATTTAGAGGATGATTTTGAAGCCATTTGGATAGAAATGCAACTGAATAAAGTGAAATATTTAATTGGATGCGTTTACAAGGCTCCAGACGAATCCCTCGAGGTTTTTAACTATTTAGACGATGTTATGAGGGATGCGACTAAAAACAATTTGGAAGTTATTGTCATCGGTGATCTCAACTGTGACATTTTAAATACCTCAAGGCAGACAGAGAGACTGCTGAAATTTACCATAGTCAATCAGCTTGAACAACTGATAAAAGAACCAACGCGTGTGACTTCGACAACAAGCACCCTCATTGATGTGTTAATCACCTCAACACTTAGATTGTTTAAAAAAGCAGGTGCAATCAGTATAAGCTTTCAGCGACCATTATCCCGTCTACGGTGTTATGCATGGCTCAGCGACTCGCCCGGACAAACATCGGATCATAACAACGCGCTCCTGGAAAGACAAAAATGTAAATGATTTTATAGCTAGCCTGAAGCAAGCTCCATGGTGCCTGATTGACTCTTTCAACGACGTTGACGACATGTGTTCAGCCTGGGAATCGCTGATGAAATCTTTGATTGACCAACATTTTCCGCTAAAGAAGAAGCGTATTCGTAGACAGACGCACCCGTGGCTTGACAGTAGTGTTCTTAAACTCATGAGAACGCGCGATCAAATACACAAGAGGGCAAGAAAGTCACGACTGTCTTCGGATTTGGAATGAAAATAAATCCCTTCGAAACAGTCACCGCTATAAACAGAAAAGCCCTGAAGAATTATTTCAAAAACAAGCTCGAGGAAAACTACTCAGGAGATGCGCGCCAAATTACAACTATTATCACTTCACAGTAGACGCCTTTTCATCAAGTTACAGTATGTTTACAAGATAATTAACAACATCAACTGCCCTAAGCAGTTGACAGGGTACTTAGTGAAACGATCACAGAGACACTGTCGAGCCTTTAGAGATCCAACATTATTAGATCTACCACAAGTTAAAACCAAATGTGGACAGACCTCGTTTAAGTTTTCGGCTGCGAGTGCCTGGAACAAACTGCCAAGAGAGATTCGCGAGCTCACAACACTCGCACAATTTAAAGGCAGAACTTTCACTTACCTCGTAAACACGGACAGCGTAAATCATATTTGTACAAGTTAAATGTAATTTTTATATATAATTTATACATTTTAGATTTGTAATTGTAATTCTTATTGCTTGTAATTCTTTTTAACTGGTCACCGATCAATACCAGTCGATCTATATCTTTGATCGACTGACCGGTTTTCTTACCAGGATAAATAAAGTTATTATTAAAAGCGCTTTTCAAGGAAATGGAAACGCTTAGTTTACGAGGTTTCATTTATTTATTTAGAAACTAATGAGTAAGCTGCCATTTGAGTAGAGTTGCTTCTCCTCGTTTGCTCTTTTCATTTCTTTTCTTGGTTACAGAACAGCCAAGGAGTAAACCCAAATGTGGATCTTTCCTCTGTCGTCGTGAATTCTATAATTGAAGGCGGGGTCAACCTTGGAAAGGAGTCTGTTGTTTCTCACTGCCACTTGCAGGTACATGCATGCATGCCCGTGATTGTTTTCAAATTTCTAAATCTCGCTAGGAAAGGAAAACTTACTAGGAGCTTATGAGAAGTTATGGTAAATACAAGTAAACTCCCTGAAGCGCGGGAAAACGTGGGTGAACGCGTCACGACTTATTCATCTGATTGGTTGGTGGTATTGCTTGATGTTTTGTGAACCAATCAGATAGCAAGGAATGTCAAAGCCAATGCAATCGTGGACTTGTTTCTCGATTCTGCTCTGACCACTTTTAATCGTTTTTTATGTTTTTGCTTTTTTTGTGTGTGATATGTAATCTAGGCGTGCTTTTAGACTATTTTGTTCCATTCTACTTACATGTTCCAGTCTACTTACATTTTCCATTTGCACTTGTAGGGAAATTTAAGCTTTGGATCGGGATCTGTGTTAGCAGGAATTGCTGCGTCTGACTTTAAGGTCAGTGTTTCAGTAGGGTAACTGTGCAAAAAAGAAAAATTGTCTCGAATAATGAAATTTTTCGAATTTATGTGGGAAGTGTGGTTGCCAAGCGAGTAGTGCGCTGGACTTTGGACCCAAAGGACTGGGTCCGAGACCTGGCCGCTTAATTTTTCTGTGTTTACAGAGAAGACGCGGCTATCCTCTTACTACCCCTCTCTCTTTACTTAGGAATAAAAGTGAATACATACAAACTGTCCAAAAAAAAAACTAACGATATGCCTTAATGTTTTGTTCCCTCCACTTACAGAGCCTTTATCCAGGGACTGTTCTCCATGATGATTTGTGTATTCTGGGTTACAGGGTGTCTCTGCCCGGTTTGAGAGGGGAATCCCAGAGGGTTCTGGTGGTGTTTGGTATCCATGATGAGCTTCAGGTGAGAAATGTGTTATTACTGTTGAGTCCGTCCCTTCCCTCCTCTGTTCCCGTGTCGTCTGTGCTACTCTTAAAAGCTCTATTGTGAAAGTGACTTAATCAATTATGATCTTTCAGATGCCTGCTTCATCGCCTAACAGTACATATTGCAACAAGCCGTGGAAAGTGTTGTTTGAGAGAACAGGAGTCAACCCTGAGGAAGTTTGGATCGGTCTGGTACGAGATCGCTTTAAACATTACCTGACTTTTTACTTCAACTTTTTACCGTTTACGTCTGTAAAATCATGGAAGGGTTAACTTGATGTATCTTAGTCACCAAATCATTGCTCAAACTTTCGACTGCTAGGTTACGAGCGAAGGGTTTTTCCCTCACCTGTCGGAATGAAAGGAGTCATGAAAATAATTTTCCAGAATATATATTCCGTGCTTTATGAGTGAGTATGTTCCCCGTAATTCCGTGAATAGCCATGTAGGAAGATCTAGAATTGGAAAGGTACTTTGCAAACTTATACGAAAGTAAATATGTTCCTTGTAATTCTTCAGCCAGAAGAGCAGAGAAGTCTGTACAATGCTAAGCTGTTTCCAGTCGTTCGCCCATTTGACGTTCTGCTGGAAGATGCTGGTAAAGATGACATGTTATGGCTGGCAAGTACAGGAGTGTCTGACGTTCCTGATCGGCAAATACTCAACAGGTGAGTTGTTAACTCGCGAAGCATCCTAAGAACTATGAGGAAGGTTACATCAAGTGGTTAGAGGTTTTGAAAAATGAAAGAGATGGTTACCAGATCATGCCTTTTGGCAGGGGAGAGTGAGGTGGACAGGCCTTATATCATATCTTCTTTAGCCCAGGGGTTTCAATAAAAGCCGCTTTCCGGCTTTTGTTGAGCCTCCGAGCATGCTCTAGTGTTTGCCCCTCGCAAAGCACAGCTGGCTATTACGCTTTCGGCAGATGCTTATCGAAAAAGTTATTCAAATCCCTGGTTAGGCGCGAATACAATGCGATTTTCTTTCAGGTAGGGAAATATTGGGTTACTTTATATGGGATCGGCTGGCCTTTCTAGTTTCTGATGAATAGTTTTAGATATTTAGTAATTTCTTTTAATATGATGCATTCTTCGGGAAGGTTACAGAGTTCTAAAATAATTTCTTCCCTCAAAACTGATCTAAGTATTTGTTCTGATATCAGGTGGCGTTCGTCGTTGAGGTTATCGTTAAAGGACATTTTAAATGCTGTCGATATGAGTGCAGAGTTTGCTTGGAGAAAAAAATTGTGGTTTGAAATTGGAAAAACTGAGGTGGAGGAAACGTTGAAGAATTGTGAGAGCAACTGCCTGGTGCCATTCTTTAAAAGTTGTGGGAAAGAAGGATTTGCAATGCAGATATTGGAAGTTCTGGATGAAGGTAAAAGTAACTATATTTTGACCTGAAGGCCAAGCGTAGCTTAGAGCACCCGAAGATACATGGGATCCTCCCTCCAGCGTTATACTGGCAGTAATGAAACGCTGTGATATATGTTCTTAAATTCTAATGAGATTCTGTTGTTTGACACCTGATCAGAACTTTCGCTTAGCCCCAGCTTGGAGCGGTCTGTTGTTGTTGAATTTTTTTTGGGAGTGAATACAGAAAACTTGAAGATGACTCAACAAACTTCTGGGTTTTCCTTGCTACTTTAGTCCTCCAACTGACTCTGTCAACACAATAAGTCTGAAGAAAAAACGGATTGGGAAGTAAAGATACTTCGAATAAACTTGTTGACGTCTTTAAATTTTCCCACTAAACGATTAATGATTTCATAGATTTTCTTGTTTCCATTCTCCAGTTGCGTCCAGCGCCACCTCCCCAGGCGTGGCTGCACGGACCTTGGCCTGCATTGCTGACGTGTTAGGTGCGATGGCAGGAGAGAGGGCTGGGCTGAGGAGTGGACCGGCCCGCAATGAATCTTGGATGCACGCCTTTGAATTGCTTGATGTATGTTTGATGAATTGTATTCCTTGCTTAATCAGTCTGAGTAATCTATTTAGGTTTTTGATCAAAATGCTGCCGAGCACTCTTAACCAATTAATTTTCATTTTGTAAGTTAGAAACAGCCTTCTTTGTCATACTTATCGAGTCGACGTCAAAGAAAAGTTTAATATTTTTTGGTTAAAATGTCAGCATTGTCATAAATGTATATTTTTTTCGCTCAGAAAGGAGAAATTTCGTCAGGGATAAAAGCTCTTGCCCGAGAACGATCAAAATGGCTTGACAGGTAAATTTACAACTTCATGATATGAAAGAGGTATCCTACATCGTAATTTCTTAAGTAAGATACAGAACTAACCCAAAATTAAAGAAAAATTACGAGTAGACCCTATGAGAGCTCCAACCTTCAACCCTTTCACTTTGCGTTTGATGCTCTATCACTAAGATACAGAGAGCTCGTTGGCAAGTAGGGCCGGTACAGGGCTCGTCTATCGTACTCATCTTGCATGCTGCAAGGATTACTAGTTTCGAAAGCTTGGTTTTTGTAAATTATCTTCTCAAACTATGTTATCTTGATCAGACCTCATCTGCTGATACGAGCGGCGCGACATTACGAAGGAGCTGAACAAGTGCTGAGAAGAAGAGCAGTTCTCACAGCCAGACAGGTGCGTTACTCAAAAGTGCATTACCTTCTCGAAGCAAGAGTAAAACTTGTTTTTTAAATCTTAAATATTTCTTTCTCTGTTTTTGGTTTTTGCATCAGTTTTTCCAGACGGAACGCTGCGATTCTGTACCGAAGGGACACTGGGTTATAGCAGAAGCACCAGGTTTGCGAAGTTTTTGTTACAAAGTTTTCTGGATGTCTGTCGTCCGCATTTTATGGTACTCCAGGATACTTTGTAGCGACACCCCTTGAATTAAAGCGTATTTTCTTTTCGTTGTACGCTTCTGGTCTCCATTCTGTACGCTCAACAACCTGTTGACAACATTAACATATCCAGGAAAGACACTAGCTTTCCCACTCAAAATTCTGATCACCATTGCGGCAGATTTTAATTATGCTATATTGATTATTCTGCTGCGCATCATGATATGAAAGGTGAAGGGTTTGAACCAGGTATTATTAATGATAATCGTGTTGTACTCATGCAGAGGTGGTTTTGAAAAGAACCACGACTCTTGGCGGTAACTGTAAGTGCCATTTGAAAAACCTGCGTTTAAGCCACTCTTTAATTCAAACTTAAGCAACTGTAGGTCGGAAAGGGCCACAGTATTTTGGGCGAGGATCGTTTGGGTACTCTGTAAGAAAACGTCGATTTTAAAGATTTCAAGCCTGTTATTACTAAGGAAAAGACGATCGGCAATTGTAAAAGGCAATTCTTAACTTAATGAACAAATATTCCTTTTACAGCGCGGATAGACCTCTCTGGAGGATGGAGCGATACGCCTCCAATTACCTACGAACAGGGAGGAGCAGTGCTGAATGTTGCTGTTAAACTGAATGGACAGGTTGGGTTTCTTTTTTCGTTGTATCTGTCTTTTTTCGTCACTTGTCATTCGATAATTTGAGATAATAGGCACAATGGGATGTATATGTTTCATATGGGTACCTGATAGTTTGGAAACAATTATACATATGCTTGTTCACGAAGGATCATAATTTATTAGTAAATTGTAGGAATCTTTCCCCCTCTCCCCCCCTCTCTCTCCCCCTCCCCCTCCACTCACTCCTCCTCTAGGTTTGCTTTAGGTTTCCTTGACAGATTGTTGGTTCTCCCGGGTGGAGAGAGACTCTGCGAGAGTAGTTTGTTGCTCGAAAACACAACACAAAGACTCGGAAAAGACTCGAACCTAACACGCGTAACATGAAGCATCTACGTTTTCCAGCTTCTTAAGTATTTGAATTGTTTTTTTTTTTCTTTGTAGAAAGTCACCAAGGCCCAAGTACGGAAGATAAGCAAGTGAGTCAAACTTCATCTATCTCCGTATCCCCGACGCTGGTTTAACTGATGTTTATTTTATTTAATCAAGAGGACTGCCTTCCTGTGTCTCTTTGCATTGTCCTTTTAGTCTCCATTACGGCTCTCAAGGCCATAAATTAAAAGGCAGTGTAACAAATCGGACATTAATCTTTCCCCTACTCAATGCATACTTTCTCCACGCATCCTAATCTAGATGTTTTACGTTATCTTTGCTTTTGCTTGTCGGGGGAAATGAAATTCGTAATTCAATTGTCCTATTTCAATTTTTCAGGCTTGAAATTGTTCTGGTGATTCATTCAGGAAAACACAGTGTTCGAGTGATTTGCAGTGAACTGATGCATTTAGAAAATTACACCCAGCCAAATGCCCCAGGTATGATTATTGTTTTTTTTTTTTTTTAATTTTTTTTTTTTTTTTTTTTTTTGGCATTTTACAAAACATTATTCTACCTACAATACAATACAGGACTCAGTTACAATACGTCACTTACAGCAATTTACTGAGAACACACCACTGAAAAAGTATAGTTTACAATAAACTTGATTACATTAGATGACTTACTCTCAATTACTTACACTACCTACACCATACTCTACATTTACATTACATTAAAGTACTTTCATTATGTTACGGTAAATTACTTACATTATCTTACCAATAGTATACAGCGAAATTGTATGCTTTACAAAAACAAAATTAGACTTCTTATGCTACTCTGCATTGTTTGGACGACACCCATCCCACAAAACGATATGTGGCAAAGGCTTATCTGCTTAGAGAAAAGCGGTTAAAAAAAATTGTTTGGTTATGCGCTAAATATTTTAAGAGTAGAAGTCTCAGGAACACCATCAAAAGAAAAGTAAAGCTGGTTAGGATAACTGCTTGAACCAGCCCAATTTCGATGTTTAAACGTTCAAGTGTGGAGCGTTGGATGTGACTTCAGGGCTCCTGAGAAAATTAATCTTTTTCTAAACTCTTATGCCTGTTTTTTTTTTTTTTTTTCAATTAATATCACGAGTTGATTCACTGAAATAAACTGGGAGAGGCCATGATTTACACCTTAACTGGATTGTGGGAGGCTCTCTTTGAAGTCGACTAGTAAACGCTGAATTGTAAGTTATCGAAACTGAAATTGTAGCTGAACGAATCGACCGTAGGTTTTCGATTCAGAGAATGGACCGTTTCATTGTAAAAAGTTCGGGATCTGGGATTTACTGGTATTTCACCCTTGAAGCTGTTTCCTGAATAATTCATGTGCCGGTTTTAGTCAGGTCAAAAATTTTTTCTTACTGCATTCGTTTGTTTTGTTTCTTTGTTTTTTGTTTTTGTCTCTAGGTGCGCTCTTGAAAGCTTGTTTTTGTTTACTCGATATCGTAACTCTTCCCTCGAGCGAAAAATTATGCGAACAGTTGAACAGAAAGTATCAAGCCGGCTTTGAGCTTCACACCTGGTCGACCGCTCCCCAAGGGAGTGGCCTGGGCACAAGTAGTATTTTGGCGGGAGTTATACTGGCAGCGCTTTTACGGGTAACCGACCGCACAGCCAGCATGGATTCACTGATTCACACTGTGATGATCGTGGAACAGATGTTAACTACGGGCGGTGGCTGGCAGGATAACGTGGGAGGGCTGGTGCCTGGTTTCAAAATCGCTCGGTCTCAGGCTTCTTTGCCTTTGAAGGTAGAAACGGAGAAAGTGGAGCTTAGTGAGAAGACAGTGAATGAAATCACGAAAAGATTGGTGTGTTTTTACTCAGGGAGGACGCGGCTCGCTAAGAACTTGCTACAGGTAAGGAGGGGGCAACTGTTTGTTAAAACTGTGAGAAAGAAGAGAATCAAGCTAACGACTGGATCCCAGCGAATTTCAATTAAGTTTCATAAAATCAGTACAAAGTAATTACCACGGGGTCAATCAGAGGAAAGGTTAATATTACAAGGAGCCAATCAGAGAAAAGGTAGAAATCACAAGGAGCCCATCAGAGGAAAGAGAAATATCACAAGGAGCCAATGAGAATTCACAGTAAAAACAAGCTACCTACCTAAAGCGCGGGAAAACGCAAATTGGCTTGTCGCGACTGTTTTTTTTTCCTCAATGTATTTGTTTGAGTGAGTGGCGCGAGTTCTCTAAGCCAATCAGAGAGCAAAGTGGAGCACTCTAATATTCAGGATCTCCCCCCTTTGTTTTTTTTTTTTTTTTCATATAATTTTTTTCTTTGACAGAATGTCGTCAGGAACTGGTACGCAAGGTTTTCACAGATCACTAACAACGCCAGGAACTTGATTAACAAAGCGGAGGAGGCTGCAAAAGCGTTGAGGGAAGGTAGATATCTTTCATTCCCTTAACACAGTTCCAGAGTCAATTTTGCCAGATATCAGGCCTCGGCGTCTCCAAAGTCCAAAGAATAGTTTCAAGTATTAGAGCTGTGATGAATGATTGTAGATCATTTGCTATAACCTAATCATGCACGTTCAGTTCTTTTTTCTCTTTAATTTCCTGGCAGGGAATATCGAGAAGTTTGGCGCTTGTTGGACGTGTTACCGACATCAAAAAGCTCTTATGGCACCTGGTGAGTCCGAGTAATGGCTGGATAGGTTTTAAAAAGTTTCCCACAAACCAGTCTATGTACGTGTTTGTTTTTGTGCTGCTAAGCTGCATGGTTATGACGTTATTGAGAAGGTACATTCACAGTGTGGGTTTGTGTATGAGGATGCAGTATTCTTCGCCTTTTTATAGCTTCTTCATGTTTCTGAACAATTACGTTGCAGGGAAAATCCCAGATCAATGTTATATCGTTGCGCGGCCAAACATTCAAACTTGCCGGCATACTTGTACTCACTTATTCTGTGTTTTAATGACTTAGTTGCATTGATTTTTGTGTAGGTTCTGAGCCAAAGGCAATCAAGGACTTACTAGAAGCTGTTGAACCCTTGAGTTTTGGTATGTTAAAGTTTGAGTGCGATTTATAAGCTTTATTGAGTTATAATTCTCTTTCTTCTTGCGCCAAAAGGTAACTAGAAGTTGACACACAATTTGGACTTGTAGATAATAATCTTGTGAATTAAAGTGATTGTGCACACGTCAATCAAAATGTGAGGTAAAAACGTTGGCTGTTACAGAGTATGCGGCGCGTTTTCGTTGTCAATGAAAGGGTATACTAGAAAAACCAACGCCATTTTTTGTGTACAGCAATGGAGGGTCGAAAGTGCAGGCTGTTTTACCAAGGGTTAATTCAAAACGCTGAACTTTCAAACCTGTCTAACATGTTCTTTATAAAGTGTTCTCTATACTTACCGTATTAATCCCTACTGTTAGACTCTGTTTATTTAGATGCATAAATGGGTTTTCTTCCCTTCAGGGCAAGCAATGTCCGGAGCAGGAGGGGGTGGATTTATTTTCGTTCTCACCAAGGAGCCTAACATGGTGGATGAAGTCAAAGATGTCATAAAAAACATGAAGGTTGGAACTTTTTTATCTGCCTCTTTCGCGAAAGTTACATTTTTTATTTTCGTTTTCTAATTTCCGATTGCACTCAAGATGGGAAAGGAGGGTTTATAACATAACTAAAGCAAAGCGCGCGCTCAGATTGGTTAATTCAACATCTACTATTTGC